CATGCCAGACTTTTGAGTGTTAGAATCGTAAGATAATAAAATGTGTGTTGTTTGAAGCCACTCGGCTGTTGGTAACTTATGTCAGCAATAGGAAACTGATATGACACTATGTGAAAAAGGGACTCCGACTGGTTACCAGTTTGCTTGCTTGCGCTCTCTCTCTCTCTCTCTCTCTCTCCCCCTCCCTCCCTTCCTTCTCTTCCTTCCCTCCCTTCTCTTCCCTTCCCTTCCCTTCCCTTCCCTTCCCCTCTTCCTCCCTTCCTCCCTTCCTTCCTTCTTAGACAGGGTTTCGCTCTGTTGCCGAGGCTGGAGTGCAGTGGCTCAATCTCGGCTCACTGCAGTTTTGACCTCCTGGACTCAAGCAATCCTCCCACCTTAGCCTCCCAAGTAGCTGGGACTACAGGCACCTGCTGTCATGCCCAGCTAATTTTTGTATTTTTGGTAGAGACAGCATCTAGCCATGTTGCCCAGGCTGCTCTCAAACTCCTGGACTCATGTGAATCCCCTGCCTCAGCCTCCCAAAGTGTTGGAATGATTGGTATGAGCTGCTATGCCCAGCCGACTACCAGATTTCTTATCTGCAATTTGAAACTAGAAGTTTCTAGATCTGAGAAAAGGAGACTGCTAGCCTAAAATCACCTCCTGGCTAAGACATCATTCATGTGGGAGGGCAAAATGAGGCATTTCTACCAGAAATGATTCAGGTGTGTGTCTTTCTAAACTAATCCTCTCTGATACCTCCTGAGCTGTTTTTTGTTTTTTGTTTTTTAATAGCTTTATTGAGATATAATTTACAGGCCATAAAATTCACCCACTTAAGGTATGCCATTCAATGGTTTTAATACATTCACAGAGTTGTGCAACCATCACCACTATCTAATTTTAGAACATTTTCACCACCCACACCCCCTGGCAGTGTATTCGTTGGCTCAGGCTGCCGTAACAAAATGCCGCAGACTGTGGTTAAACAACAGAAATCGATCTGCTCACAGTTCTGGAGGCTAGATGTCCAAGGTCAAGGTGTCAGCAGGGTTGATCTCTTTTTTTGAGACAGGATCTCACTCTGTTGCCCAGGCTGGAGTGCAGGGGCGCAATCTCGGCTCGGCTCACTGCCACCTCTGCCTCCTAGGCTCAAGCAATCCTCCCATCTAAGCCTCACTGGTAGCTGGGACCATAGGGGTGTGCTATCACACCCAGCTAATTTTTGTGTTTTTTGTGGAGATGCAGTTTTGCCACGTTCCAGGCTGGTCTCGAACTCCTGAGCTCAAACCATGCACCCACTTCAGCCTCCCAAAGCGCTGGGATTACAGGCGTGAGCCACTACGCCCAGACAGTTGGTTTCTGCTGAAGCCTCTCTCCCCACCTTTCAGATGTTGTCTCATGGCATCCTTACGGGGTCCTTTCCTCTGTCTTACTGTTTCTCTGTGTCTGAATCTTCTCTTCTTATAAGAACAACCATCAGATTTGGATTACGGCACCCTAATCGGCCTCGTTTTAACTTAAATATCTCTTTTCTAAAACTCCTCCTGAATCTCCCTAGAAATCTATTTTGAAGTACTATGGGGTAGCTCAAAGGAGCTTCAACATATGAATTTGGGGCAAGAAAATTCAGTCTATGAATTTGGGGCAAGAAAATTCAGTCTATAAGAGGCAATTACTCCTTATTCCCCCCACTACCCTTCAACCGAGACCCAAGCAACCACGAATCACTTTCCATCTCGACGAATTGGATTTGCCTATTCTTGACATTTTATATAAGTGGATGAGACAATATATGGTCTTTTGTGACTGTCTTCTTTCACTTAACAATGTTTTCAACGTTCGTTAATATTGCAGCCTGTATCGGTACTTCGTTCCTTTTTACTGCCAAACAGTATTCCATCGTATGAATATACCAGTTTTGTTTATCCATTCATCTGTTGAGGGACATCTGAGTTGTCTCCATGTTTTTACAACTACGAAAAATGCTTCTGTGAGTATTTGTGTGCAAGCTTTTGTGTGGACTCGCTAGGTCATACTGTTACTCTATGTTGAACCTTTTGAAGAACTGCCAATCTGTTTTTCTGTGTGGCTGAACCACCTTACAATTTTACCAGAATGTATGAGGGTTCCAATTTCTCTATAAAATCACTTGTTATTTTCCTTTTTAAAAAAATTATAGCCATCCTACTGGGTGTGAAGTTGTATCTCAATGTAATTTTGATTTGCACTTTCCTAATATCTGATGATGTTCAGCTTCTTTCTAGGTACTTGTTGGCCATTCATATTATATCTTCTATGGGGAAATATCTATTTAGACTCTTTGCTCACTTTTTTTTTCTTTTTTCTTTTTTTTTGAGACAGAGTCTCGTTCTGTCACCCAGGCTGGAGTGCAGTGGTGCAGTATCAGCTCACTGCAACCTCCACCTCCCAGGTTCAACAGATTCTCTCACCTCAGCCTCCTGAGTAGCTGGGACTACAAGTCCGCACCACCACGCCTGATTAATTTTTGTATTTTTAGTAGAGACGGGTTTCACCATGTTGGCCAGACTGGTCTTGAACTCCTAACCTCAAGTGATCCGCCCGCCTCGGCCTCCCAAACTGCTGGGATTACAGGTGTGAGCCACGGCGCCCAGCTTTTGCTGACTTTTTAACTGGGCTCTTGTCTTTTATAAAATTTGCAACTTCATGTTGCAATTTTATTCCTAGTGTTGGAGGTGGGCTCAGTGGGAGGTATTCGGGTGGTGGGTACGGGAATCTCCATGAATACATTAATGCCTTCCCGGGGCGGGGGGAGGAGGACTGAGCTGGTTCCTGCTCTATCAGTTCCAGAGAGAGCCGGTTGTTAAAAAGAGCCTGGCCCCTCCCCTCTCTCTCTTGCTCCCTCTCTCGCCCTGTGATCTTTGCACACGTGGGCTCCTTTCACCTTCCGCCATGAATGCAAGCAGTCTGAGGCTCTCACCAGATGCCCAGTCTTCCAGCCAGCAGAGTCATGAGCCACATAAACCTCTTTTCTTTATAAATTATCCAGCCTCAGGTATTCCTTTATAGCAACAGTAAACAGTCAAAACCAGATCTTATCAGATATATGATATTTGCAAATATTTTCTCTCATTCTGTGGGTTGTCTTTTCACTTTCTAGATGGTATCATTTGCAGCAAAAGTGTTTAATCCTAATGAGGTCCAATTTATTTATTTTTTCTTTGGTCACTTCTGCTTTTGGTGTTATATCTAAAAAGCCTCCGCCTAACTCAAGGTTATGAAGATTGCATGTATGTTTTCTTCTAAGAGTTTTATAGTTTTAGCTCTTATATGTAGGTCTATGATCCATTTTGAGATTATTTTTATGAATGAGGGAAATAAGGTTTCAACTTTCGTCTTTTGTATGTGGGTATCTAGTTGTTTCAACACCATTTATTAAAGGCTGTTCTTTAACTTGGCACCCCCATTGATAATCAATTCACTGTAAAGTTAAGGGTTTATTTCTCAACTCTCTATTCTATTTTATTTTTTCTTTGAGATGGAATTTTGCTCTGTGGCCCAGGCTGGAGTGCAGTGGCATGATCTTGACTCACTGCAACCTCAGCCTCCTGGCTTCAAGCGATTGTCTCGCCTCAGTCTCCCGAATAGCTGGGCATGCGCCACCACAACCGGCTAATTTTTTGTATTTTCAGTAGAGATGGGGTTTCACCATGTTGGCCAGGCTGGTCTTGAACTCCTGACCTCAGGTGATCCACCTGCTTTGGCCTCCCAAAGTGCTGGGATTATAGGTGTGAGCCACCATGCCCTGCCTGGACTCTCTCTTTTATTCCATCAATGTATATATCTGTCCTTGTTCTTTTTCAAGACTGTTCTGGCTAGTCTATGGTCCCTAGAATTGCCAAATGAATTTTAGGATCAGCTTTCTAATTTCTGCACAAAATAAGAGGGGAGCAGCTGGGATTTTGACAGGGATTGCATCGAATCTGTAGGTCAATTTGGGATCTCTTACCATTTTAATAATATTAGCTCTTTCAACCCGTAAATGGATATCTTTCCATTTATAGGTTTTCTTTAATTTCTTTCGGAGACATTTCATAGTTTTCAGTATACAAGTCTCACACTTTTTTTGTTAAATTCATTCATAAGTATTTTATTCTTTTGATGTCACGTAAATAGAATTGTTCTCTTCATTTTCAGATTCTTCATAGCAAGTCTGTCAAACTACAATTGATGTTTATATGATGATCTTATATGCTTGGACCTTGCAGAACTTGTTTATTAGTTCTGATAGTTTTTGAGTGGGTTCTTTAGGAATTTCTATATGTAAGATAATGTCATCTGAAAATAGAAATGGTTTTACCTGCTTTTGTAACTAAAGTTCTCTTGGAACACAGTGACATCCACTCACATATGGTCTATGGCTGTCTTCAAGTCAAAGGCCGAGGGAAGTAGTTGTGTTCCTGGAACTAAGCCGGGTCTGGCTGCATTTTCTCGAGGCCTAATAATGAGAAGCAGACAAACTAGTAAAGAAGGGAATTGGCCGGGCGCGGTGGCTCACGCCTGTAACCCCAGCACTTTGGGAGGCCGAGACGGGCGAATCACGAGGTCAGGAGATCGAGACCATCCTGGCTAACACGGTGAAACCCCATCTTTACTAAAAAAAAAAAAAAAAAGCCTGGCATGGTGGCGGGCACCTGTAGTCCCAGCTACTTGGGAGGTTGAGGCAGGAGAATGGCGTAAACCCTGGAGGCGGAGCTTGCAGTGAGCTGAGATCACGTCACTGCACTCCAGCCTGGGTGACAGAATGAGACTCCGTCTCAAAAAAAAAAAAAAAGGAAGGGAATTTATTGCTGTAACCGGATACAGGGAGAAGGCCAGAGATAATTCCACCAGACCAACTCGAAGTGTTACAATTTTCTTAGTGCTTATATAAGTTGGGGTTATGTGCCTATGTGCAGTACAGCATTTGCCTAAGTCTATTGGTAACTAATTTTGTTTCAACTAGAAAGTCAGAGGCAAAAAAATGCTTGCGGGAGACAGGCCCTCGGGGGTGGAGGTCTTTGATTTCATAAGAGCCTGATAGATTTTTCTAAGATATGTGTAACACACCAACTTACTGTGACCTGGGAAAGGCTGCTAAGGATGTCTTCAACAAAGGATATGGCTTTGGCATGGTGAAGATAGACCTGAAAATCAAGTCTCGTAGTGGAGTGGAATTTTCTACTTCTGGTCACGCTTACACTGATACAGGGAAAGCATCAGGCAACCTAGAAACCGAATGTAAGGTCTGTAACTATGGACTTACCTTCACCCAAAACGGAACACAGACAATACCCTTGGGACAGAAATCTCTGGAGAATAAGTTGGCTGAAGGGTTGAAACTGAGTCTTGATACCACATTCGTACCGAACAGAGGAAAGAAGAGTGAGAAATTGAAGGCCTCCTATAAATGGGATTGTTCTAGTGTTGGCAGTGACGTTGATATAGATTTTTCTGGATCAACCGTCTATGGCTGGGCTGTGTTGGTCTTTGAAGGGTGGCTTGTCGGCTGTCAGATGAGTTTTGACACAGCCAAATCCAAATTGTCACAGAATAATTTTGCCCCGGGTTACGAGGCTGCAGACTTCCAGCTGCACATACATGTGAAGGATGGCACTGAATTTGGAGGTTCTATCTACCAGAAGGTTAATGAGATTGAAATGCCAATAAACCTTTCTTGGACGGCTGGAAGTAACAACACCGGTTTTGGCATTGCTGCTAAGTACAAGCTGGACTGTCGAACTTCTCTTTCTGCTAAAGCAAATAATGCCAGCCTGATTGGACTGGGTTCTACTCAGACCCTTCGACCCAGAGTCAAGTTGACCCTTTATCAGCTTTAATCAATGGAAAGAACTTCAATGCAGGAGGTCGCAAGGTTGGCTTAGGATTTGAACTGGAAGTGTAATGTGGTTTGAGGAAAGCATCAGATTTGTCCCTGGAAGTGAAGAGAAATGAACCCACCATGTTTTGGCCTTACAATTCTTCTGTGAGATTTCAACAGTGTGAACTTTTTATTCCTCCAAAAAAATTGTAATCCTCCCAACACTGAAGTCTAGGGGTTACGAGTCCCTCCTGAGGGGAGGCGCTGGAAGGCATGCCTGGAAGCTGTCATGTTTGTGCCACGTTTCGGTTCAGTTCCGCAGTGTTATTGAATGTGTTCCTCGGCGACAGTGTAGTGTCGTGTCAGAGGAGACGATCTGACCCTCCAGTTTGTACCTTGTGTCCTGCATGTTCACACCATTTTTTTCAGGACTTTGTAATATATTGGTCTCTGTGCTATTGTGGAATCTTGGATTTTGCATCAGAGTAAAAGAAAATAAACCGATCACATTTGGAACATTAAAAAAAAAAAATGCTTGCTAAGTCTGATTAAGCTGTGCGGGCCCCAGTGCCTTCCAGGCCTGTCTCCTGTAGTACCAGAGTGATTATTTCTATCTTCTATTCTTTACAGCTTGGTCCGGAGAGCTGCCTTAGACTCTCCAATGAATCTATTGAAACAGTTGCCTCTGTTACCTTGACTTGTCTCAGATTATGTCGACCCGAGCAGGTCCTGGCACTAGGAATGTTAGACTCTATTATTTTGACTTGCTCCAGGTTAGGGAGAGGTCCGTGCAAGGCTTCTATTGACCATATATTTTCTTTCTTGCTTTGATGTCTGAGCACTGATTTCCCTAGGTTTAACTATTTGCTCAGTGTTAAGGCACTGTGGAAATTTGTGTAACTGGGGTGCTGTGCAGGCCTGTCTGTCGACTGTCATGCAGGCCCGTCTGTGTGATTGTCAGGGAGAACTGGCCTGCCACAGTTGTGACAAGACCAAATGGCTTCGAAAAAGCCAAAACTATTTACCAGCTGGTCCTTTGCAGAAAGTGTGCTGACCCTTGTTTTGCGGCAGTGTCTTTTCTGTTTTTCACTGCCTCTAATGAATGTCTTAATTTTGAAATAATGTATTTTATATTCTCAAGATTTGTTTTTTGTTTGTTTTCCAATTGCTCTTATGCAAGATCTTCTTGACTCTCCTGATAACATCTCTACGATTCCCTCCTTTAGACATGCCACATTCTGACTGCTCAGCCTGGCGGAGACCAGTGGGGAGGCTGCAGCCTTTAAACTTCCCAATATCCCTGAAATGTCTGCTCACATTCAGAGGCCTGGGCCTTCCAGCCTCATTGCGCATGAAGTGCCGGTGGCTACCACAAAGGCCTGGCTGCCAGAGTCCCCCCGGTAATTGTGAGACAGCAGGCAGGATAAAGTGACCGGGAAGTTTCTTCCCCAAAGCTGATGGTGAACAGGTCCCCAGGTTGGGACCTGATGACTAGCTGGGAGCGAGGAGAGCTTCTGGCTTTCCCAGGTGTGAGTTGGGTGGGGCCTCCATTCCCGGTGGCCTCAGGGCTCCTGGGAAGGGCACCGGCTCCAGGGAGACCCTTAGGCTCTCCAGGATGGCTGGCTGGTTGTCTCAGGCATGTACTTGGCTTAGTTTTCTTAATTCAATTAAGTGGGGACATTAAGTTCCCATAAAGTGGGAACACTCAGACTTGGCTCCAGAACAGCAGGCCTGCTCTCGCCCAGTCCTATGAGACAGCCAGGTGGGAGGGGGACCCTGGAGAAATGCCAGCCAGCCTGCCCACTGAGGCGGAGCCTCGGGAAGTTCACAAGGTTTGCAGCAGGGAGGAGCCTGGCCCCTCCTCTTCCTGTGTGGAACCTGGGATTCCAACTGCCTGGCGGGAAGCACTCTAGCGCAGGGATTCTGGCCTTGCGAGAGGAAAACCAGAAAATGGGGCTCTTGAACCCCCGTGCTCACCCGCTCCCGCCCTGTGGAGTGTACTTTCGTTCTCAATAAATCTCTATTTTTGTTGCTTCATTCTTTCCTTGCTTTCTTTGTGCGTTTTGTCCAATTCTTTGTTCAAGAGGCCAAGAACCTGGACACCCTCCGCCGGTAACACTAGGTCCTCCTTCTCTCCTTGTGAACAGTGGCACTAAGAAGTTGCCCTCCACAAAACAGGTAGCAAAGATTTTCCCCCAGCCCCATCTGGCCACGCTTCCTATTGATGGGTCCAGATCTCTAAGTCACCCCAGCAGAAGGCTGGAGTACTCCCCGGTATGACCACAGGGCCTTCATTCCAGAATCACCCCTCCTGCCTTCAAAGCCAGTAAAACACGATCTTAGGGAAAGTCACTTTTGAGTGGAGGAGCCCGAGAGAAGTGAAGTGAAAATAAACTCCAGGGTGGGCGCAGTGGCTCACACCTGTAATCCCAGCACTGTGGGAGGCCAAGGTGGGCGGATCACCTGAGGTCAGGAGTTCAAGACCAGCCTGGCCAATATGATGAACCCCCATTTCTGCTAAAAACAAAAAAAATAAGCTGGGTGGGTGTGGTGGCGCACACCTGTAGTCCCAGCTGCTCGGGAGGCTAAGGCACCAGAATTGCTAGAACCAAAAACAAAAAAGCTCCAGCTGTGAACCACAGACCATCTTCACGGTGTGGAGGCCAAAATGGACCAGAAGTAATTTCTCTTTCCTGCCAGATAGAAAACAAGCAGGAGCTGTGGTTTCCAAAAATGCCCGCGCACACAGGCTAGTCGTCCCTGACCCTCCCAGGGCACTGCTTGGGTTGGAATGGTGGCGCTCACACAGGATTCCTTCAATTCTGCACTGTCACAAGCCCACAGGGGTGGAGAGGCTGGCAGTACAAAGAGGAATGAGACTCGCCTGCTGGTCTCATGAAGTTCACAGCCTAGTGGGGGAGCCTGCAAGTAAGAAGACAGTCCCGATGCAGGAGGGCAGGAGTGTGACCCCGAAACAGTGTAGAGGAGCCTGCAGCCTGTGGTGAGGGAGGGTGGTGCTGAGAGGTCGGGGGGAGACCCGACACATAGCGGTATTGAAGACGATTTGCCAGGCAGGCTGAGGCAGCGGGCAGGGCAGAAGAGGAGGCAGACACGCGCTGAGGCGCTCGAGGCACATTGAATGAATGGATGAATGAAGGAAAACTAGCCGTGCTGTGTTTAAGGAAAACAACTGCTGGTAATAACTGAGTTGGGTAATGAGATTAATGGTGTGAATGAAAAAGGGGTGCAGGGTCACAGGTGGCCCCCCAAACCCCTGAGACATCTGTGGTTGTCTAAGCATGCTTTACTTTGGATTCTGGCATGCATTTATAATTCATTTATGCTGGTTAATATGAACCAGACATGGTCTTATTGGTGAATCATCAAAAGCAACTGTGTTTCTTTCCATTATTTGTGGTGAGTTTCCTTTTGGCAAACACTACGTAATGGAGAAGATGGTCCTTGGGGCTGGCTCCCCAGCAGTGACCCCAGGACTGGAAACTTCAAGAACTGGAAAGGCAGTCCAGGGCCTTAGAGTCTGCAGAAGTATATGCTCATCTGGCTCTTATTCCAGTCGTCTGTGTGACCTCGTGGGGCCTGTTTCATCACCCTCTGAACAAGTAGGTTGGATGAGATGCCCTTTGAAGACTTTCTAGCTCTGTTATCTGTGGCTCTGTGGCTATCCTGAACCCAACAAACAGCCAAAATCATCTTTCCTGCCTCCCTTACGAATGGGAATTCCAGTCCAGGAGTGCTTGGAGGCATGGGTCATCAGCCTGGCTGAGTGTCCTGCACCCACACACATCAAATGTCATGAAATCACTGACTCTGTCAAGGAATCTTTCCAAATCCTAGGACTGGTGACCTCCAGAAATAAGTCATTTGGGGGAACCACGTGTCCAAATGTTAATTTTCTTTTAATCAGAAGAATGGAAAACAAGAATTCATGTACTTTTAAGGAATAAAGCCTTTGTTCAGAAAATGCAAAACGTGCCAAATAGACTGTGGTTTCAAATTACGTTTCGTTAAGGAAGAGGGGAGGGGAGGTGAGGGGGAGGGTACTGAAGAAGGGCAGAAAAGGCCTTTCTCGGGATCTACTTTGTGTGGACATCAGCATCTCATCTGAGCCTCAGCAGCACCTGCCAGATGGGCTTTAGGATTCCCACCTGCCAGAGCAGGAATGGAGGTCAGAGAGGTGTGAGCTGGAGGATTAACACAAGGAGCCTCTGACTCCCCAGGCATCCCGGGGTCTGTTAGACAAAGACCAATGCCCACTCAGGTGGAAGCAGGGCACAGGATAGGATGTGAGTGGTCCCAGTCTGTCCTCTCTCAGCCCTTCCTGCAGCTCATGAAGCCCTCTGATGAACAAACATCAGATGCAAGAAACAACCTCCCCAGGAACAAGATGGTAACAACTTGTCAGACTTCAGGGCAGCAGGGAAAATACCTGATCTGGAGATCAGAGTGGGCCACATGCTGAAAGAACATCAATAAACCAGGCTGTGAACAAGCAGGCCTGTATCCCAAGGTCTCAGCGCAGGACTTTGATAGGCAGTGACCAGGGGTTAACCTTGCCTTTCCATAGCACAGCTGGAATGTCTCCAGGTGACCTGAGGCTTGTCCGTTTTAGTAATTTTTAGGATGCAACAAGGCTCTCCTGTAGCAAAGAGACCACTTCCGAACTTGTGAAGAGAAGGACAAATGAGGTTATGAGAGGGTAACACCCTCAGGGGCTGCTACCAGGGCTGTAGGAGATCATGCTACCCTTTCAGTTTTGACAACTCTGGGCTTAAATACAGGAAGGAAAGCAGAGATGCTACAAGCAACCTCTAGGGAACTCTGATGACCTGCACACGGTGAGGGAGATACAGGGAGACAGGGAGAGAGATAAGCACATAGAGACCCAAACTGCAACCCGTGACACTGATGTTCAACCCCAGAAAACTAGAATGCATGGGCACTGGGATTAAGAGTCAGAAAAATACTGCTTGAGACTTGGCTCCACCGTTTACTATATCTTGGAAAAAACCACACACAGCCTCTCCTGAATCTTGGGCAGGAGGAAAATAGCGACTCTTCATTGC